GGGGGGGGGGTCACTAGCGTGCAATGGATGAGTCGGTAAATGCTGTCGACTCCCTTGTTTAGTTAAGGTTTGTTGAATGTCAGGACATGGATGATATCTCTGTCTAGTGTTTGCAGTTTGGCAATTGTGTACAAGTAAAGGGAAAGTAACTTGACTCTGAATAATAGTCTCTCGTTGCGATCATCCCCTTCAGTGTTTTAAGAACCGGGCTAAGTAGTCTCGCCGACCATCCTGATGCGCGGCGTATCCACTCACAAACTAGTGACCACCTGCGTGGTGTTGGCTTACTTCAAAGGAACCAAATTGGCGTAATCATGCTTGATCCAGAAAGTAAAAGAGGTTAGCGTCATAAACGAAACTGTAACTGTTGCGGTAATTTTTTGGTCTTCCTGGGTGCTACTTCGGGCACATCAGGTGTTTCCTGGTTCTTTCGGAGTGTAAACACTGAGGACGTAGATCCGGAGGGGCTCTGAGTGTTTCGCATATGGAGTGTATTATTCACAATCTGAAAAAAATCACATAAAACCGCTCCCTTTGTGATGTTCTTTGGAGGAAGATTTCCTATGAAGGAGTGTACTGTATTCATTGATCAGCTTCTTGTTTTACCCAGCGCACTTAGTGCCGGTAAGAGAATCCGTGACCGTTGTGGTGAGCGGGCAAAATGTGCTCGTGATATTTCGAACATTTTGCATAATGAAACAGATCATCTAGTTTCCGCTTTACTCAATTGTTTACCAACATTTGCTTTTTGCCTTCTGTTCAATGGGTACCCAGTCTTATTGCTTGAAAGTTAAAGAAATGGATGATGAAGAATACAGTTTTGCACTCGTCCATGAACCACTTTACCGTGTGGAAACTGGTAATTACGAGTACCGGTTGATACTACGGTGTCGCCAAGATGCTCGCACCCGCTTTGCGAAGATGCGCAGCGATGTCCTGGTGAAGTTAGAATTATTGGATAATAAGCATGGTAAGTGGTAATACTTATGTGGTACTTGGCCAGTTATCTGTTGTAATTCTCTGTTTCAGTTGCCCATAATTGCAGCCGTCCCACATTCCGGTTCTTTTTTTGTTTCTCAGGCAGTAGGACGGAACATATCGTCGTTAAATCTCATCTGTCCCAGCGCATAGAATCCCTTCGGGCTACAGTTTGGTAGATCGTGTTTCTGTGTTAGTTTTTGATCCGACCGGAAGAATCGATTGCAGTTTCTCATAATTAAGACGATTGAAAAACCTTCACTCGTTCCTTTTAGAAACTCAAATGAGTTTGAGCCACAAACCAGATACGTCATTTTTTCCTGAAATTATACCACAGCCGACTAGCCTTGGTGCTTGTGACACCGATTCGATATTAGCTTATCTGCTATCGGTAAAGTATGCGCTGCTTTATCACAGTTCACAGTAATTTGTGGATCAAAAGCATCTTCATTACGAACTCAAAATGTACAGCAATTAACACTGGGATTTTCGGAGTCGCCGCCCGGAACTAGTTGAGATATCAGGTATAATAGTAATGGCGTGCGACCTAGTTATTCGGCTGCAATAATTCTGCGGTGGACAACATTGGTTAAAACGTCGTTTTTCAAGGCTGGGACAACGCACTTCCGTCCTGCACCTAATCGCATTCCAAATCGGTCTGGGTCTATATTCGTGTTATTGTCTGCTATAGGCAATAAGGAATTTTTCCCAGGTTACCGGCATTTCCGTACAAACGTAGTGAGGCTTCATTTTTCTGAGAAAGACCAGGTTATGAACTCTCGGAACGTGATTGTCTATCAAAGGAAGAAATGAAAAAAAGACACCAGATCTGAATGGATTGTACTCACCTCTCTTCATATGTAGCTGAGGAGCTCTGGTAAACTAACCTGACAAACTATCTTGGTACATTTTGGGAGAAAAAGGGTGCAAGATGGGACGTCTGAACCATCATCCCAGTGTTTAAAAAGGCGTACGCGAACACTGGTGGCTTCAGTCTGTTAGCTGTGGTATCTACGGTGCTCTTTGGTTTGGTAGTTCGCAACTCGATTGAACATAAGTTGAAAGATCCGTGAAAATCAAGAGGACACGTGGACCACAATTTTACTGTCCGACACTCTGAAACCGTGTCACTGTCTTCATCAGCCTGACCACATCCAGATGCAACACTATTAAGTAATCCTGCCACACTGTTTGGTATGCGCTTCACAGCTACATAAAGTGAACAGCTGTTACAAAGCTGAGTGGTAGCAAACAGGATGAGCTGATCGAAGTGGTAGACAAATCTGCATACTGCGGACGAGGGGAGGCTAGAGCGGCGTTTGGCAACATGCAGTACCTATGGCATGCAAATAGCATCAGAATCTACCAATAATCAGATTTACTATACTCTATTGCCGTCCTTACTGTTGTACGGATCAAACCCAGTCAATATAACCTGTAGAACTTTCAGTATCTTCGGAGCATCGCGCAAGTATGGTGGAAATATCGGATCAGTAATGGTTTCTGGAATTGGTAACTCGTACCCACGGCAAATAGTCTGAGAGTACTCCGTTGTTTGCACTACCTCAGTCACGTGCTCCATATGCCAGTGGATCGATTTATCCGAAAATCCCTCTCCGCACAGCCACGCGGAAAGTAAAAGCTGGTTTGTTCGTGCGAAGTTGTAAAGTATGAAACCTGTAAACAGCAAACTCAGTTGCGTTAGTATCGTCTCTTTGGATGGGGACCACGAGACAGGACAGGATTTGAGACACTTTTTGACGTAGACTGCTCCCACGCTCGATGACATGCTTGCCTGCCATTGATTGTCTTCCATGCATAGTCTCCCGTTTATTTCTCGCCTACATGAAAATCTGCTGCTTGTGGTTGATTTTTAGTCATGGGTGGTCTTAGGATTTGTAGAGTCCGCGTTCACATCACTTTTGTTTGAGCAGCCATCCCTTCTCGACGCAGATGTTCTATTTTACCCACGCCAAAGAGGGAGGAGGACTGGACTCTTGTTTACCTGGTATTGGTGCACATCAGTAGCCGTGCGATGATGACGGTCGTGCTGGGGTTTCAACTTCGGACATCTACCATGCAAGGCGAACATGCAGTGTAGGCTGGATGCACCTGAATCATTACGTATGAACAGACAATTGTGTTGATTCATTTGCCTATTATCTTCTTGGTCACTGATGCGGAAGACCGTGGCATCTAGGACCGCCGTATGGCATATGCTCGGTTTACAACTATTGGTGATGGGTAGTATGCGACAGTTGCTTTTCTGATGAAACAATTCACCAACAGGGGGCATCACTTCAGTCCTTCAATCTTGCTCAGGATCACGGTGGTTCGGGACAGCCTAGTCACGCATAGCTAGCTCCAGTTAGTTCGAGTGTTTCGCTCCCAGAGGACTTTCTGTTTGGCGAATGTCTGCTCGCCTAGTTGCGTGAAACGACCAAAAGATACCAGCACATTTTCTGGCAATTAAGTATAAATCCGGTACAACCGATCTGTCTTGCGGGTGACTGTCCCCTAAAGACGATAGTATTCATTGGTCAGTAAATGTCATGGCACAACCGTAGCCGATAGTATCCGCATAGAAATACCCTCGATGGCTAGCTCTCTCACTTTTAAATCCTTTCAAACCATCTGTTGTTACTTCGACATTCCTTCTGATTTCCGCTTACACCGAACTGGTTGATCCATCGCATCTGTTGTATGATTGCCCCTTCATTTGTCCTTAAATCATCATTTGGTAAGGTTACGATAACAGAAAAAGACGGATCTTTGTTTCATAGGATATCATACCTGACACACAATCGCCTTGATTGCTAGCTCCACCTAATTTAAGGCTTTCGAATGCTCAACTGTATAGAGTGAATGATTGATGTAGCTTTGAAAAAAAAAGACAAGTGACTCAGCAAATGTTGGGGAAGTAGACAACTGCGGAGCACTGTAACTCCGGCTGCTAGATACAGGATACGAAACTCTATTCTAGGATTGACGTGTTTTACAGGAAGTTTGAGGTGGTTTCCCCTGTTTTGAGTATCACATAATGTGCGGAACCTGTGTCTTTGACAACGAATAGTGCCTACTGTGCACTTAGAAAAGAGGATTCCTATCCTGGAAGTGAGGTCAACCTACCCTGAAAAGCCGAGATGCCGGAACAACTATGCAGTTGTTCCGGCCTTCTTGGAAATCATCGGTGGCATGCATTTCACGAATTTCCGAAAATTCAAACCTACGGTCTCTCTTTAATAGCTGAAAACTATCGCACTCGATCATGAGCAGCTGTTCAGGATTTTGGCCACTTAACGCCTGTACAGCATAAAGCGTTACTCATTCTTCAGTTACGTGGTTCATATAGCGTGATTTAGTGTTGACTGGCACTCGAGTAACGAACTGGAGACTTGTGTGACCTGATTTTTTCCATTTTCGCCTAAAATAATTGTGCTTTGTAGTCATTGGCGTACTATGCTCTGGAGCCCAACATTTTAGTAGACTATATCCGTCTCGACAGTCGCTGTCCAGATAGCATGAGGGCTACGATGCCTTCGGCGCCGTTACCCTAAATGTGAAAACTTAACAGAAAATTGAAGGAACCGGCCAGGATTGGTTTGCAAAGTGGTATAAGCTTATAAGCTTTAATGCATATCGTTATTTTTATTCTCAGCCTTCTTGGTGGTACTGCCACAACCCGAAACCGCAGCGAGGACGTGCATTGCTGTTGAAACCGTGTTACCCGTTCTAGTCATCCAATCTGTGAGGCCATCTGAAGTACCGGCTACTTATTTGAACAAAAGGCGTACAAACCTATTTCATGTAGCAAATGAACACCGGTAATTATCTTCGCATCCAATGTGAGACCTGAATGAGTGGGATTTACGATGGGGTTGACGTTAGCAAGTTTGAATCTCTAGCCTAGAAAGATAACATGGTGCAAACAGTGAGTCGAGCTGGCAGCGGTTCGTCCGTTGCTTTGTCTATTTTGTAGAAAAGTACCACCCAACACCGTACAGATTGGCGTGGAATCACTGCTCGGTATGAATGTTCAATAGTATGCACTAGAGTTTCCCAAATATGAAGATCTATAGGGAAGAATCTGGGTGATAAATGTTGCCTCAGCAAGGATTCTGTAGAACTGCGTCCGGTTGTCCATGCCAGTTCAGTATGGCTAGATGAAGTCCACTTTGTACAATGGGAGTCAAGGTACAGGAAAATATTTGTTTATTTCTGATGTTACGAAGCAGGGACATTTATATACGGAAACCTAGCTGGATGTTATAGAGTAAATGTTGGTTCGTTGTTTTCGAGCTCACGTCCGTGTCAGCGTGTTTTCCATTTTTATTTTAACCTGATAGCCTAGAATTTCGTTGGAGACTGTATTCGGGCTTCGCCCAGATGAATGCTAGAATCGTCAACGCCATTACCATTAAGTGTTTTCAATATTCTCGACTTTTCCTGCCCTGAATTCACATCACTGAGAAAATTCAAAGGTGCTTCCAGGATTTCCTGTGTATTCTGTCAACTCCGTCAACCGAACCTTTTTTTCACCAAATGTATGCCCCTATCGGTAGTATTTCCTATGCTAAAGGCCAAAAGTGGTAAATGCATAACTTGATTAGGCTCCCCAGCACATTGTTCCCATTGACTTGCAATGCAATACACCTATAGACTTTGACCAAAAGAGCAGAAATCAACGTAACCTTCGGTGGATATCTGCTTGGGTCTGTTGTATCTCCGCACCCAAAACCTCGGTTGAACGAAACTCAGTTATTTCTCTCTCGTAAGCACACGTGCTGTTGATGCTAGGTGACCGACAAACTGATGTGACATCGGCCTGCATCATCATCATCGACAGCATGACATCAGTGTTCAACACCGATGCTTCACTGCCGTACATCGGCCTGAAACCAAGTAGGTCAGTGTAAAGGTGAGCCATCTTCAGTCTGTGAAAAAACGCGGTTTCTTAGCCGTCTAGACTCATTCTCCTGCATGTTCACCGTATGGGAATATCCTAAGCGCAAAAAAATCCGCCACTTCGAGACATGTTGATCCATGTAGGGAAGCCCAACATTGTAGGATTGCGTTTAACGTCTTGTTAGGTTCGGTGAGGTGAGGGACGTACTGTATTCGAAGGGATATTCATATTCAGTCGTTTACAAGCCTCTTTGAACTTTCCAGTTTTCTGTTGTTCCGGACTATCGGTTCCGTGACGTCTGAAGGTTTTATTCATTCGCAGCTAGAAGAGGTAGTGAACTTTTTGACGGAGGCATCTATATGCTATGGATTGTAATGCACTTTTACGCTTCCTAGATCTGTGAGCAACGCCTAGCTGCGGAACATCGGTTTGAACTTGAACTCCAGTACGTGTTTTCCAAGCATCCTTTGTTTCCACGCATGTATACTTTTTTCTTTGATGCCTGATGTTTTACGGACTCACCTATAGCATTAATAAGCCCCGTTTATCGTCTCCTTTGGTCTGTCAGTGCAAGATACCGTGAAACAGTTGCAACGTTTCATCGACGCCATGGCTGCTTATCACGATCAGTGCTACGGTGTAATGAAACAGGCGAAAATTTTCCCACTGGAAGTTGATCTGGATCGAACAGCATTCACTTATGATACAGGTATTATCAACACTGGTGAAGACGACCTGGAAGTTGGAGAAGAAACAAACGAGCGTGGAGAACGCGTCCAAATGATGGATGATCTAACTGACGATTTTCAGCTGATTGATTTAAGTGCACCGACTGAGGCTCCTAGTCAAGATGCCCACGGGGATGTTTTGTTGCTAGGCGATAATGATCTTCAAGGTCAATTGTGTCCCAGCGTCCAGGACCTAGTCGGACTGAATTGATTCCCGCCTGACACTTGTATGCTGTTCTTTTTCATTTGTACATAGAATGGGGTGCTGGAACGACTCGTTTTCCATGGTAGAGTCTTATTTTTTTCACGTATTCCTAATCGAACAAAATAACCGACTCAGTCGCGCGCAACTTAACTGTCGTAACATGACCAGACGATCTGCAATGTGATATCCTGTCATTTCCTGTGCTTCACTTCATTCCGAACGGAGCATTAATCCATGACCTTATCAGTGAATGTTCATTCTTTCTTTGGCCTTAGTTTGGTTGAAATCGTTCTGTCTTTGTATTGGCCTTTTTGTAATATCTGTGATCATGCTCCATTCTGTATTGTTCTTGTCGGAATTGGCATCAGCGGATAATACTGACATCTCACCGACATTGCCAACTCTCAGTACCGGAACAAATTGTCCGAATGTGACATTCTTTCGATTCCGCAGTGGCAGTGGTAGGCGTCAATCCGATGGAACGTTTTTTTACCTGGAGTAGTTTTCATCAGTTTGGCCCAATAAGACTAAACTCTGTGGACGCAGTCAGCCGAGGTTAGTTGATAAGTTTGCAAGTTGTCGAACCGCAGGTGGTTTGGCTGGTTTTGAGCAACTTGGGCGCCCATCGGAGTTGATTCATATGAAAAGCCGGTTTTGACAATTGGTTATGACCGAAGTTTCGGAGTCACTTTTATCAACGACAATAGACCGAAAACGGAGTTTCATTTTTTCTGTTAAGGCACGCCTTGCCGGTCTCTCGGTCTACAGTTGATTCCGACTCGACATGTTCATAGCTTCTGAGGTATTGAGGGTTGTGTCCAAACATCGGTTATCCTATTCTTTCTTCTGCGGAAAACGGAATGGACATGTGGTCGACCGTTCTGAGCTACCAAAGAAAACTAGCGTCCTCAAGGTGATTGGTATCATGGATATTCAAGCTAATTTGTCTACACTAAAGTATTGTAATGTGCTGTTCCAAACGGAACTATTGGAGGGTCGTTTTCCCCCTGTGGAACCGACTTGGCGGTTACTCATTTCCAGACCAACAATGCGTACTACCCGAACAAATAACGTATGCTGTAGTCGGAACTTTATTCACTTATGGTAGTATCTAAGTGACGCTTTTAGGCGGTTTTTAACGCACCACATTATTTCTGAATGTCACTCCGTGTCTATTCGAAGTTGAACGCAACAGTGTCGAGTGAGAAAGCTATTATAAATGCTCTCAATAAAACGGAACGCACAATTTCACTTTCGAGAAGACGAGAAAAAACATCTAATGTTGTTTAATGCCAGATGGATCGCAGGACGACCCTTTCAGTTCACCCCTAGCCGTGGACAATCTTATGCATCAATTTTTCGTTTTCATTCTGACGTCCATTCAGCTCTGATAAGCGACACGGTTTAGCTCATCCCAATCACGCAACATGTGTAGTTTGCCACCTTAATCATCATCGACAGCATGACATCAGTGTTCAACACCGATGCTTCACTGCCGTACACCCATGATTTATTTGAAAGCCTTATTGTAAACAAAAGAGTAAAGGTGGACGGGTGCCTACACCTCCAGACATCCACTCAGGCGAGATCTGGATAGAAACTGACAACAAGAATGCAACTGATATCGGTTGGCAGCCATATCTTGTAGTGTCTCCAACCAGACACAGTGAGGATCACGCGGTCCCCATCCTGGAAGGCGAGTATCACCGACAGCACCCAAGCGTTTCGTGATCTCTTTCATACTTCTCTGCCAAGTCAAGGGTTGGTCACTTCTCTGTTTACGCCACTCTGAATTGGGCATAGAAAACAGCACTCACTTCGGCAAACGATGGTTCAGCCACCTTAAACACAACGTCGGGATTCACGCGCTTCTCTGCCGCTCAGACCACTTGCACCAGAGCTCCAATTAAGCTCGAGTGACAATGGCAGCCATTTTTCTCCTGGTCGATCTGTCGCGCACAAACCGATAACAGCTACATTCAACTGTGCATTGAGCTGTAGGTGACGCACGAGTCCATCTGGTGTTCCGACAATTGAGTCCACAAATCGAATTCTGTACAGGCACACGCGCAAAGAAACCTGGGTCTCCGAAATATCAATGTCATGTTCAGAAGAGCGAAGTTGACAATCTGGCTTCAGGCTGTATCAATTTGAGCACCGACCATCGAAGTAATTCTAGGACGGCGCGGATGCTGCTCGTCTTCGTTTTTTTTCATTGCTCTGAATTCCAGCCCCGACTTCCTCAGCATTTATTTGGAGTCAAGCATGGTCCCGTCTATCCTCGTGTTACCTTTGTTTTATGAACCGAATGGACTCATATAATACTTACCAACGGTCAACCTTCTTTCAAATTTCACCGGTCACCCTATAACGAGAATAGCGTTGTTTCTAGTCGGCTTTCTTCCCTTCAACGCTAGTCTGTGCTCGTAGCCGCTGAAATTTGAGGAGAAACATGGCATGACTGAAAGAATGGTTGCTGACATTGACTGTCACACTCAGTTTCTCAGGCAATGGCAGCACTTTGTCCTGGTGCACTTGAGGCCCAACCAAAGGCTGTCGCAGAGCCTTTCATTCAGAAATGGTATTGAAACCTCGCTGATAGAAGTTGTCGTCAACAAAATAGACAAGCTCCCCCATGGTAGTTACCGCATTAAGCATCATTTTCCAGTCACTTGAAACTGTGATGACACTTATAAGGTTCACTTGACACCCGTAAGCTTGTTAATGTCAAACATTCCGGCCGCAGCCTGCTAAACGATACCCGAGGAAAAGGAATTCCCTTATCAGATTTCCGAAACTCGTCGTTCAGTGTTTTCCGCTGTGTCTACGGTTTTCTAAGAACCGTGGTGAAGATAATATGGGAATCTTCAACCGAGTATGGGTGCCTCAGACTTCGTAATATGCCGGACGACCGATTTAAATAGCTCGTTTTTTTGTGGTCTCCAGTCACCGGAAGATGCCGACATAAAGGCACGCGTTGTATTACACTTGAGACGTAACCATGTACGTGATTTCCTCATCGTCGGAGATAGACGCAATGACTGAGCAAAATTAGCGGACGGCGACATGCAATGGCTTGTAATTGTCAACAAAATTTTAGTCCTAAGCTTCAGCCACGATAGCACCGCCATTAGTTCATGTGAAGGCGGGTAGTGGCTCGTATGTAGACCCATATTTATGGGGCCAACAGGTTCTGATAGTTCCACGTTAGTATACTGTCTCATAAAACATGTTTCCTTCTAGTAGCAGACGCAGTGAACGATCGAACTCGACATAAGTACGCGCCAGTTGACCAGAAAAGCGCCCCTTTCAAGTATGTAGAGGTAAATAAGTTAGACAAATAAAGAGTGACGATTTTACATCCATTAAGCAGACAAGCCCCTCAGAGAAGCTTGAAAGACAAGTGACTTTGCGTATCAGATGTTTCAAGTTCACAGTCCAGGGCTCCGTAGCTGTCTGGAATCCGACTGAACTGCATACCACCAGGTGAAGTGGTGTTGAAGGTGTTCAGCTTGGCTATTCGGACCTTTATTTTGTGAGATGAAAGAGCCATTTTTATCACTGTTACGCTCACTATATGCCTTTTAAGGCTTAATACGCATATCAGTTAGGACAGCTTTCGCATATTTCTATCTTCCACCTCTCCAGCTTTCTAGATCCACAAGGCTTCCAGATCCGCGCAGATGATTCAGTCCACTTGACGCCTGACGGTGTCCAAGCTTCGAGTAATTTTAGTGTTGCTCGAGATCCAGTGCTTAGACCTGGCTGGTTTTATTTCACAATCAATGCGTCCAAACTCTTGCAGTGTTCTGGGAATTAATTTCTATTAGCGGTCAACATCAGCAGATACATTGTCCCAATGGCTGAACGATGCGTGTGTTTTGCGCGCTACCTGAAAACCCAAGAATTGTGCCAAAATGTAAGAACGGAAGTGGGGCGGTGGACAGAATTAGGCAGCCACCACTGGATAAACCCAACTTCTCGGATCCTATTATTATTATTGACTAATAATACACAGGGATGTGGATCGAAATCGAGTTTCGTGGTTCGGGTGCTCCCAAAGTTGTTAGGATTTTCGAGTCAGAATGACCAGGCCACACAGGCACGAAGCCTGCTTTTAGCTACTTTTTAGATAGTAAGTTAGCTGCAATGAAATTCGGTTGTAATACCGAGGAAAATTCTACGTTTATTTACTGACAGCTTCTAGGACACATAAGATGATGAACAAAGCCGACACTAAGCTCGGAAAGACAACCGGAGACAGGGAATCCCGAAGGCTACACCGAAACAAGGAACCACTCTTGGTATTTTAGAGTGACGGTCCAGCTGGCCACAGCCATTCAAACCTCCTACCCAACAGGTCCAAAATGAGGTCACTACATATCAGGTTTGAAATCCAGGTGTCTAATTTATCCATAGGCGTACATACGGTATTAGATACACGCCCACAATACACCCAACATCAGTAACACTGTGAGGTCACCTTAGTGAGCACGGATGACGTACACCGTTGACTCGAACGACTCACATATTGCCGTATAATCTTTAGTGGTTGTACACTATATAATGCCCTCTCGTTAGACTAGGTTGCCCTAAATTCGAATATTTGGAATCGGTGATACCAATCATCACTGACAGCAACATAAATGTTACGATGAAGCCTCAACGAATCACAACCACTGTTTTCCATTTAAATGCCTCATCGGAAAAAACTAAACGGGAAGAGACTTGGGTACTAGTCTACACCAACCACTCTATAGTGCGTCTGGATGGAGCCCAAAAGCAGGGATGCCATTGAAATTGGCTAGATATCATAACTTACAATGTTTCTAGTCAAGTGCAATGAGGGTCAAAGGAATACCAATGTCTCCAGGGTTAGTTTTCACTACCATCATCATAGACAGCAATATCAGTGTTGACAATGGTGCTTCACTAACCTACAACCATAGTTTGACTACATTCAAAATTATCGGTTAAAAACAGAAGAATGGGTGGAAATGGGATCTGATAATGGCCTATTTCAAGCATCTTGAGTTGCCTACACCTCCAAGCGCAGGCCACGGAGACCTTTTAGAAGGCGTACCGCTCCAAAAACACGCAAACTATTTGGAATTTTTCACACCCTTCTGCCACGTCATACGTTGTCCACCAGGCGGTTTGCGTCATTCTGTAGGAGGCACACAAAACAACACTCGCCTCAATAGACGACGTTTCGGCATGTGTAGCACATGCACGAACCACCATAGTGGATGGTCCTGAATGTTTGCCGAGACTGAAGTACTCATGGACAACCAAATACCCATTTCCTAGCCCGTTAAGAATTCGTTGATACCACCCAACACCAACAACGCTCTCAGTGTCCTATGGTGATCCTCAACTTATATACCCCATGAGGTCCTACCAAACGCCTTCCCGCGCTGGTTCACACAAACGATGGGAGAATCCAGGTTAAAGGATGTTTGGCCGGCCTAGAGGAGACGGCTAAATCTTGACGGCTCACGAATCCGGAATCATACCTCCGGACAAATCTCAGACAAGATACTATTCACTAGCGGAGGTTTCGGTTGGTGTGTCTGGCATCTTGGACTGCTGAGATGGGTTCGTTAACTAAGAACCAGTCACCGACTCCCGAAGGATCGTTCTGCTACGTTAAATTTGGGGGGTTGTCTAGAGTCTCCAAGTAGAACCTAAGATAAAACCCACTCCTTCAGTCTCAGCTACCGAGAAGTATTCTGTCCACATGACTACGTAAAACACGATCCACTTCTTTGATCAGACGCTAACGCATTCCAGCTAGTACTTGATTGCCATCATCAACTATCACCGGCAGTGTTGTTCTGCACCGATGCTCTGCTACCTTACAGGTGCGATTCACTTGAGGAACCTTTCGGTGCTCAGTTGCCATGCCAACTGAAGTAAACATGATACATGGTTAGCAGTCATTCATTAACAGACAGTCTATGGATACACCATCTAGACTGACAAATCATACACAAAATTAGTCATTCTTCTTCCCCTCTCTCATCCTTTCACACGCTTTGCTACCTCCGATGAATTTATGTACGCCACAACTCCACCCCCAGGTCCATGAATATCCCCTTCACGCGACTTAAATTTTGTAGATGGTAAGTGCATGACAAAGGACGCAATGACTGGTCAGTCAACCTCATAATGCCTGCACCTTCTTCTGTCCAAAGACGATTAAAACGTCGCCTGTATATCCCAGAACACGGGTAATTATTTGAACACCTGAGTTCTGAAGAACCTCTCGTGTTCATTAACCAGCTGGCTACGAAACTGATAATGGAAGGACTGGGCATCAGTATGCAACATTATCTCTTAAAGATGAGTTTCTACGAGGTCCTTCATAAACCCTCACACTTCACAAGTCTGAGTACACATTACACTATCACATTTTTGGTGCATTATGCTGGGCAAGTGCGTTAAGAAAAGACCAGCCAGCCGAATGAAATACTCTTTGAAAATACAGGAATACCAAAACTGTACATCCCTTATATTCATGCCGTTGTCCTAGCAGCTGGCGAACTGCGAAGATGTGTTCAACGCGGCCTCTCCCAAGCGGTAATCCAGCTTGCTGCTCTAGGGTCAACGCATCACGAGCTATCATAAGCCGATGCGGGAAAGTGACAGCAAGAACCCAGTTACGACTGGAGTCAATCTAGTCCGCTTATGACTACCTTATTCACTGATGGTCCTCTTTTGAAACTGAGTGCTATCACTTATTCATTCCAGTTACCCCGAGCAGTGCGATGGTGATAACCAGAGATCCAGACACTCAGGTTGGTCAGTTGGGGTTTAATGAGAACACACTAAGCAGTCAACTGTTGGACCTTGGTGAATGGATCCACGGATTAGGATATCACCACGAACTCAATCTGCAAGTGTGAACGTACCAGTTGCTGCACTTGCGTTGCACATAGCGTGCTGGAATTCGCTACACGCCATCAATTAAACCCTGCGCGTAGGCAGTACATCCGCAAAGAATTAGAAGAGTGCCGATCTAGTAGAGTGGACTACGCTTACATGTCCACTGGGAGGTGACAAACGTACCACTAACGTAACGCTAAACCCTCGTGATGTCGATGAAATAACTACCTTGTGAGATTATGATATAGAAAGCATGGTTATGTTGAAGTTTTTTTTCACCCTGAGGGTGTTTCACGCGCACACGCTTATCATCGGTATCGTCGATACTAAAGGACTAGTGAAAACCATGGAGAATGGTCATAGCAAAGGGCGAAAAGGATAGGTTGAGAACTTATTGTAAAGGTTCTTCGGGGAAATATTCACGGCGCGGTGCCAGCCCCATTCAACCAGACATATTTAGAGCGAGCCATCTGCTCATCTAACACAATCCTTGAATACGACGGGCAAACTAGCTAAACCGTTCAGCTAAGGAGTGACGGCAAGGCCATCACTGGGATCAGTTACGTCACACGTCTTGTAAAGCTCCTGACCAAATACACGGAAGGTAGCTTGGGAAGGCGAGTATTTCCCACAAGATTGACAGTAGTTGCTCTCATTTGGTGTTATCACGTTACGGACTGTGTTCCACATCTTTCGACAGCAAGGGTTGAGTAGAAGACGCGATTTTCTGTGGTATAATGTGGTCGGACACGCGTAATACATGCTTCAACCACCCTGACACGCAAACTTCAGCAGGGATGTACAAAATACATCGATGGAGACGATACACTGCACCTACCAAATTTACCAAAGAGCGGGATCAAGTCATACGTCCACCAAACGCTTCAGGGAGGGAGTGTGAATCGCCTGGTTACAAGTGATTCAGCGGATTCAGTCACCAGGGTGGAGTCAGCTTACAAATGACATGGCCGTAAGTATCTATTCAAAGTTAACGTGGTGAGTTTAGCATTCAAGTGTTTTCTATCCGTTAACGTTTGGCATTTGAACTCGCCGGTGTAGACCATCGGTGTGAACGCCAATCAAGTGAGAATTCCCACTCTAAAGTTATTTCACAGACGCTGCCAAATGCACCCTGCAGGAGCGATTGTTGACAAGTGATCAGTCAAGCGGTGATTTTGTTAGTCATTCAAACACAATACATACGCTGCATATTCAGGCTTACAGGGCCCTGTGTCACCCGAGAGGCAGGGCCAAAAACGGAAAAATGGTGATAGGATACAGGGAGTTCAGTAACAAATGTGTCCCGAATCTTGAGTTCTGAGTAGAATCTTGGGTCAATTCTGACTGAATCAAGAGTACCAGCAACAGCAGGCTATCTTGCTCGTCCGCATGAATTTCGTGACCAGAGCTGATTGGGCCTTAGTTTCAAAATTGGTGTTCATGTTTCTGAACCCGTTGATGAAGATGGACATGCAGAAGTTGCCAAGGCCGACGCAAAGTGAAATAACTTACGGAAATAGCTAAAATCGGATAAGTCAACAAGAAGGGATACGTAAACAACTCATGTTTCCGCGATCATTCCCTGGGGTGTGCTGCTAAGCGATCCCGCTGACAACGCCACGGCTGCTGTGGCATGAGACCGCGAATTTTGACTAACATCCAGTCAGATATGTAAAACGATTTCGGAGAGCTCAACGGAATCCAAAACAACAATAAAAAAACATATCGCCCCTATCATTTAGGTTACAAACAACGCTGACTTCATATCGTAGCAGCGCTCAAAACAAAGTGGACTGAGTTTTTGAGAGTAAAGTGTAATTCTCGATTGCTGATGCGTTGCGAAACTAAATTACTACCGACTCGCCAGTGGCAACCCACAGTCGCATGACTATTGATAAGTTGCACACAAGAAATACTGACAAGATAATCTGCATGTTTTCTACTTTCATGAGCTAATGGAATACATTGGATCGCAATTCTCAACTGAAGTCCCAGTGCGCTTTCGGAGCAACATTTTTCAACAGGTTTTTCTCTTCTTCGGGCTTGCGCTCCCCAGTTCTAAATGGGTCTAAGTTCGTGAGAGGGAAATAGGCGATGGTCAGTTCTGGAATAAGTTCATCTATTTTGGGCAGGTTGTCAACGGTGTTTTTCTGCAACTGAATGTGTATTGGAAAGCTCTAAACTACCATTTTGTTTGCACTCGTTTTCATTTTTTCACACACGGCGATATGACGTTTAGCGTTATCCATCTGAAAGTAAAGCACACGTCAACTGACATGCGAGCAAGCAGCTCACCATTTGCTGTCCCTGGGCTTTCACTTTGTCCAGAACATTCGCAGAATCCTTTGGATACTCTACTTGGAGATTTTCATACTCTTTTCTGAATTTGTCTACCAGCCCCGGAACGGGGACTGTGTGGGCATACGCGTCCCAATTTATTTGTGGAAGAGATTCGGGCAAACCAGATATCCTAAACCACTTACAAGCATGTTTTACACTAACCTGGAAACCAGGCCATCTGTTCGGGTCTTGAAATCACGAAATTGATCCAACTGGTGTTTAGGACACTGGTTATGCAACTCCAACCAGTTGATGGCAGAACGAGAAATCCGCTTAGCCGCCATCTATTTGAAGTTAAGAACGGCGCGTTGCTTTAGGTCGGGGGTTTTCATGCGTAGCGGATTCACGGATTCACGGATTTATACACAGGATCGAGGCTTTTGCCCAAGTTTCCCGGGTCGGTTTTGTTCTTGTCGGTCAGTGGCTGTCGTTCACCTGAAAGGCACAAGTGAAAAAAGGGTGTAG